TCACAAATAGTCAAAAAAATAGTCCCCGGAGCATTGTATTGCTATTTTTGAATACTCCTCCTGTAGAGAGACATGCCCGACTGAACTCGAAATCCAAAACGGTACGCACACCGTCCGCCGGCTTCCGCTGGCGGGCCCTCCGCCAGGGGCCTCCGCCGCACTCCGCCCGCCGTCGCCGAGGGCGAGGACGCGCCGGAGGCGAGGCCCTTCCTGGAGCGACCGTGCGGTTCTTCTTCCTCCTCCTCCTCCTCCTCCTCCTCCTCCTCCTCCTCCTCCTCCTCCTCCTCGTCCTCCTCCTCCTCCCCCTCCTCCTCCAACCCGTCTCCTCATGAACAACTTCTTCATGTCGCACCCCCAGTCGTGTCGGTAGGGCGGGCCAGGCGTTTCGCTGGAAACTTCCTCACCATTTCCATCACCGTGCCTTGTGCACGTTGGGGCTACTTGCCGCGTGCCCTCTCGAGGATGGTGCACTTCCAGCATGGCAGCTAATGCCTAAACCTTCCTTCCACGCGTGCCCGCTCGATGACGGTGCACTTCCCGCATAACAGCATTCCTGAACCCCCCTTCCACGCGCGCCAGCTGGAGGATTGTACACTTCCCGCATTGCAGCTCATGCCTGAAGCCCCTTCCACTCGTGCCCGCTCGAGGATGGTGCACTTCCCGCACGGCAGATAGCGCCTGAACCCTCATTGCATGCGCGCCCGCTGGAGGATTGCGCCCTTCCCGGTTGGCTGCTACCTCCTAGATCCTTCATCTCACGCGCACCCGCTCGAGGATCGTGTACTTCCCGCATTCCCAGGCGGTGCAACCAAGCGCTCCAGGACCTCCCAAGCCACGATCCCTCGTCAAAAACGATGGGTACAGGCCCCGTGCTTCCACGACGGCCCGTGCAGGCAACCAAGAACACCCAGACGGCGCAAGATGCCTCGAAGACAGCCCAAGATGGCCCCAAGACGGCCGAACATTGCCCCAGTTCCAAAGTGCCTCCAAGAGATCCCAAAAAGGCCACAAGAGAGCTCCCAACCGGGTCCGAAGAAGGCAAATTCCGTGATTTCCGTTTGGCTTTACTTGATGTCGCATGCTTGCCTTTTCAGGCTGTCGTCAGCTCAAGACGGCCCAAGAGGACTCCACGATGGTCCAAGGGGCATCCAAGACGGCCCAAAGACGGCCCAAGAGAGCCTCCCGAGGGACCCAAGACGGTCTTAGAAGGCCCTTCGACGGCCCAAGACGGCGCCAAGACGGCCCCATGATGGCCCCCAGACACGCACCATACTGTCAAGAAGGATCCAAGACGGGCGAAGAGAACCTCAAGCCAACGCAAGAACGGCCCAACCGAGTTTAATCATCAGTACAATCGTCCGCATCATCATCATCATCATCATCATCATCATCATCATCATCATCATCATCATCATCATCATCATCATCATCATCGTCATCATCATCATCATCATCATCATCATCATCATCATCATCATCATCATCATCATCATCATCATCATCATCATCATCATCATCATCATAATCATGATCATCATCATCATCGTCATCATCATCACCATCATCACCATCATCATCATCATCATCATCATCGTCATCGGCATCGTCATCATTATCAGCATCATCATCGTCGTCATCATCACCATCATCATCAGCAGCAGCATCATCGTTGCCGTCGTCGTCATCATCAGCATCATCATCAACATCATCATCAGCATCATCAGCAGCATCATCATGACCACCACCACCACCATCGACATCATCACCATCATCATCATCATCATCATCATCATCGTGCTCGTCATCGTCATCGTCATCGTCGTCGCCGTTACCACCATAATCATCATCGTCATCACCATCATCATCATCATCATCATCATCGTCATCGTTCCGTCGTCATCATTATGCATCAGCAGCATGATAATCATCATCACCATCATCATGGCCACCACAACCACCACAACCACCATCATCATCAACAGCAGCAGCAACAGCAGCATCGCCATAGTGATCAGTATCACCATCAACAGCAGCATCAGTATCATCATGATGACCATCATCATCATCACCACCCGCATCGTCAGCATCATCATCATCATCATCATCATCATCATCATCATCATCATCATTACCACAAACAGCAGCAGCATCATCATCGTCGTCGCCGTCGTCCTCTTCGTCGTCGGCATCATCATCATCATCGTCATTATCATCACCACTACCAGCATCATCAGCAGCAGCATCATCATGATCAGAATCATAATCGTTATCATCATCAGTGTCATCATTATCATCAGCAGCAGCAGCATCATCATCAGCATCATCATCAGCATCATAATCAGCATCATAATCAGCATCATCATCAGCAGCAGCATCATCAACAACATCATTACTGTCATCACCGTCATTAACAGCATCAACATCATCGATAATCGTCATCATCATCTTGATCATCCCAATCATCTGCATCTTCTTCGTCATCCTGATCACGACTCTTGGGAGCCTGGAGACACGAGGAGTCACACATGACGGCGTCCCATGCCCTCGAGCAGTCGCCACCCAGAATGCCAGGATGGCCAGGTGGCGGGACTTGACGCAGGCAGCTGGAAATTATCCTGAAGCTTGAAGTTTGCAACAGGTTCAGGGATGGAGGGTGGATGGTTTTCAAAACCTGGTCTCGCCTCAGCGCCGCGCACATTCGTACAAAAAAGCTGCATATTCAAGAACGGAGGAAAAGCGGTTTTCAAAATGTGGCTATCACCTTTGCGCCGCGCACATTCGTCTTAAAAGTTCGCAACAGCTTCAAGCATGGAGGACAAGTGGTTTTCAAAATGCTGCTCTCGCCGCAGCGCCGCGCACATTCGCCTAAAAAGTTCGCAACAGCTTCAAAGATGGAGGACGGGTGGTTTTCAACATGTGGCATCGCCTGGCGACGCGCACATTCGTGGCAAAAATCGCAACAGCTTCAAAGATGGATGACAAGTGGTTTTCAAAATGTTACTCTCGCCATAGCGCCGCGCACCTTAGTCGCAAAAGTTGCAACAGTTTCACGGATGGAGGGCGCCTCCATTTCCAAATGCTGTTCTCGCCCTAGCGCTGCGCACATTCGTCTTTCTAGTTTGTAGCAAATTTAAAAGTTCGTACGGTTGATGACCAGGGAATGGCGGTCTGTCATGACTTAGGATTGTCAGGACACAACAGTCACGTTGATTCGCGGTGCTGAAGTCCCAGGAATGGTGCTCTGGCACGCTTTTAGACTGTCAAGACGCAACAGTCACCTTGACCCGCGGTGTTATAATTTCAAGAATGGTTTTGGCGCGATTGAGGGTTCTCAGACAATTGTCTTCTAATGGGCCATTTCACGTGACGAAAACAAATTCCCCAATCAGAGCTTGCCTCTGTAGGGGTCCTAGCGGATTCACATGTGTAGGTGATCTACGTCGCCGATTTCGGTGGCCGGCCCGGGTGCCCGGATGCCCGGGTGCCCAGGTGCCCGGGTGCCCCGGGAGGGGGCCGGGCGCCCGGGGGTGCCCTGAAGTGCCCCGGGGTGCCCGGAGGTGCCCGGGGGTGCCCAGGTGTCTGGGTGCCCGGGTGCCCAGGTGTCTGGGTGCCCGGTAGCCCTATAGCCCTATAGCACTACAGCCTTATAGCACTATTGCCCTATAGCCCTATAGCCGTATAGCCCTGTTAGCCCTATAGCCCTGTAGCCCTATAGCCTTATAGCCCTATAGCCCTGATAGCCCTATAGCCCTATAGCCCTATAGCCCTATAACCTTATAGCCTTATAGCCCTATAGCCCAATAGCCCTATAGCCCTATAGCCCTATAGCCCTATAGCCCTATAGCCCTGATAGCCCTATAGCCCTATAACCCTACATCCCTAGTAGCCTATAACCCTATAGCCCAATAGCCCTATAGCCCAACTGCGCTATAGCCTTAGTAGCCCTATAGCCCTATAGCCCTATAGCTCTATAGCCCTGTAGTCCTAATAGCCCTGTAGCCCTCTAGCCCTAGTAGCCCTATAACCCTATAGCCCAATAGCCCTATAGCCCTATAGCCCTATAGCCCTATAGCCCTGTAGCCCTATAGCCCGATAGCCCTGTAGCCCTATAGCCCTATAGCCCTATAGCCCTATAGCCTCATAGCCCTATAGCCCTATAGCCCTGTAGACCTAATAGCCCTATAGCCCTATAGCCCTGTAGACCTAATAGCCCCGTAGCCCTATAGCCATAGTAGCCCTACAGCCCTGTAGCCCTATAGCCCCATAGGCCTATGGCCCTAAAAAGATTATGATTGTGTTTTCTCTGGTACCCTTAGTTTAGGAACCTACGAAGAGGGAATTCGGAGGGAGGGTTTATTACACCATCCTTAGTGCGTCTTGGGTTTCCGCTGGTCCTCCTCCTCCTCCTCCTACTCCCCAAACGTATGATAGTTTGATTTGTTTGAGAACGGAGTCCCAAAAGTCCCGACTCCTCACGGCAGGCGTTTCATCCCGAGCCGTTTTCTGACGGCTCTGGGGTTCGGTGAGGGCTCTCTGAGGCCGAGAGAGATGAAACATCTCCACCCTGATTCTTTCATGTCGTTGGATGTCTAGAAGCTCCCAGGAGGCCCAGAAAGCCTCGGTCCTCTTCGACCTTAGATGTGTGGGCATCCCCCTCTGAGCACCAAATGCGACAGAGGAGGCCGGGAGCCCCGCGCCAGAGGCCCCCCACGAGAGGGGCGTGCCTGAGGGGGAAGGTTCAGGGGATGATCGCCTCCTCCTCCTCCTCCTCCTCCTCCTCCTCCTCCTCCTCCTCCTCCTCTTCCTCCTCCTCCTTCTGCTCCTCCGCAAGGGCTTGCTTGAGGGCTCTGGGGGGGGGGAAGCTGGCATCGGCGACACATCGCCGATACGGCGGCGATGGGCCCCCGATGGCAGATCCGCACCTTCCTGGGCGAAGCAAGGCACTTGCGAGAAAGCACAAAGGTGAACATGCACGGGCGCACTGAATGACACAATGGCGCCTGGCTTCACCTTGTGACCACACATCCTCGTCTTGAGCGAAGCGGGCTCGTCCGCGGCGCCCGCGGAGACCTTCTTGAGCGCCTGTCCGGTGCACTCAGTGCCTCTCCCAGCTGCCCTGTCTTGTCTTCGTGTGAGCGCGGGGGGGATAGAGCCAAGGAGCCCACACGTTCCTGAGTCTAGAGGACACGGGGAGACTACTACGACGGAGGCTTGCACTCTCCGCAGAACCGATCCTCGCCAGCAGTCGATACTCACGACCCGAGCCAAGGCAGCGGTAGATGAGGAGAGGAAGGAAGCGAGCAAGGGTACACACACACACACACTTCTTCGTCGCGGCCGGCTGATCCAACACAGCGAGGCGCTACGGCGGGACACGCCGAAGGTAGGGAAACGAACTCTATACACCGACGTTTTTTCCGATCCAGCGCTGAAATTCGCACAGGAACGCGGATCCTGGTGTATACAGGATCCTGGTGTATACATTTGTCGTTGTTTCCCTTGGAAAACAAGGAAAAAGTATACACCACACCACCCCGATGTCGTCCCCGACCCTCAAAAGTCTTGGGATTGAGAAAACAACCCGCCACTGGTGATGCATATGTTTCAGTTTCCGATAAGGCGTTGCAGGTGGGGGGGTCAAGGGTACACACACACACACACTTGGAGGAGGAGGAGGAGGAGGAGGAGGAGGAGGAGGAGGAGGAGCAGAGGTAGGAGGAGGAGGAGGAGGAGGAGCAGAGATAGGAGGAGGAGGAGGAGGAGGAGGAGGAGGAGGAGGAGGAGGAGGAGGAGGAGGAGGAAGGGCAGCTCTCCAGCACAGGCCGCGAGGCGCGAGGCACGGCTCTCCTCGCGCCCCCGCGAGCGACCTGTGGCTCCTTCGGTGCCTCTGCCCCCTAACCTGTGGGCGCCGTCCCGCGCTGGTGCACTGCGCACTGGCCGCACCAGAGCATCCACTGAAGGACAAAGATAGGGGGGGGACTGGCAGAGGGGGGGGGTGCATCGACCTGGAGTCGGCCACACATCGCCGATTGATCGGCAATAGGCCCCCGATGGTGAATCCGCACGTTCCTGGGCAGGCTGGGGCTATCCGGCCCATATCGGCGATCCATGGGCGATTGGGGGTCGATGCGCCCCCCCCCCTATGCCCATCCCCAAGTAATCGTTGCCCCTGATCCATGAGACGCTGCCGGTGGTCCGCCGCCCGCAGGTGCACCGCATGCTGGGACCCTTCCGAGGACGGGCCGCTTCCAGCGGGCGGCGGCGAGCAGCGGGGGGCCTCCTCCCGCGCCCAATGCCCCCCTCCTCCTCGCCCCCCCGGGGCCTCTGCGCACCACGCCGGCAGCGAGCCCTGCGCCGCCCTGCCTGCTCAGCAGGGTGGCCCTGCTCGCTCGCCCCACGGCGACGATCTGGGCGCCGCCCTGCCCGGATTCTGGCTGGCAGGGCCGGGCAAAGTCGCGACGGGCCCGACTGCGGACACCGACGTGCGAGCACGCTACGGCACGTCCCTGCCAGAGCTGCCAGAGCTGCCGTCGTGTCCCAAGCCCCCTCGTGTCGCTCGGTCATGATGGTGGTGCCTCCCAGTCCTGTCCATCTCTGAACCGCTAGTGGCCCCGAGTTGGCCACGCTGGGTTACACAGGGAACATCGGAGATGAAGGAAAGCTGGGCCCTCGAAATCGAGAGACGGAACAATCAGAGATGCACGATACGCACAGATCCACACGATCCACGAGCTGACCTTCGAGTCCTCCTGCACACGTACCCTCACGACCCGCGCCAGCGTGGCGCTGCTCTCCACCCAACGCCGCCACGAACGGCCCTCCGTGCTCGGCGGCCCAGTGAGCTTCCCAGCTACCGATACCGCGATGCACCACACCGCGATTTCCTCGCATGTTTTTTTTGGGGGGGGGGTGGGGGGGGGCCAGAGGGGGTCTCAAGAGGCTTCGGAGACCAATGGCCACAATCCGATGATGAATGCCGCGCCACCTCCCCAGTGGCGCAGCGGCCTGTGCCGAAGGCCAGCGTTCGGGAGTACCCACAGCCCTCGACCCAGGGCCAGGACAACTCGCATGTTGTGTCCGGACACGTCATTCGTGACCGTCGCCGGCGTTCGGCCTTTCGAGCGTCGATGCGGAAGAGCTTCACAACTTCTCGGCGCACAACAGCGCGATCTATGGAAACGCTGCCGTGCCAGGATCCAGAAACTCGTACGAGCGCAAGCTGCAGGTGGCAAGAGGCATCGTCGGCAACAAGGCGCTCTAGCTTTGGGGAGCCCCTAGCAAGAAGCGCGGTCAACGAAGGCCTTTCTTGGTGCTCCACACTTACTGTGATGGGGTCGTCGCTCTTCCGCGCCCAAGCGTCGAGAACTGCAGCACCATCGTCGCGATTCGGTGCCCAGTGGGGCGATGTGCAGAAGCCTCTGACTGGAAGCGCATCACGTCGGCGTACGATGTCACGGTCCATACAAAAATAGCTGGTACTGAACCTTCGTCGCACTCCACTGAGAGCCTCGCAAAAGGAAGAGTCGGAGCTGCTTGCGCTTAGAATGAGATTGCTAAGATGCGAACCGCTCGCAATGCTAGACAAAGGCATGTGGCCGATTCCGGAAACCCTGAACCCAAAAATGTTGTCATCTCTTGGGAGGTCGATTTTTGCCTCCGCCGGCTTCCGCCGAGCTCCCGCCGTCTTCCGCTGGCGGAGCCGTCGCCGTTTTACTTCCGCCGCCCTCCGCCGACCTTCCGCCGACTTCCGCCGCAGGAGAGATGGCAACTCCTTCGATCCTTGAAGGCAGGGGCCCTTTTTGGAACGCCCTGTTTGTGCAGTGGCAAAGCTGGCACAACATACACACGATGCCGAAGCCTGCAGAGCCCTCCAGGGCCTGGGGCGATCCGAGGGCGCCTGCCACGGCAAGAGGAGCTGCACGGCTCTGTTGCTGCTCCTGGGCGCGCAGGAGCGATGCTCGGCCGCGTCCGAGGCTGTGGTCTGCCGCGCAGGCGGGAATGCACGAAGCTGGGACTAGCGAACGCTCTCATTCGGCGTTTCGACATTGGGTGGAAGGGGGGGATCTGGCTCTAAACCTCTGTTTAGTGCGACTGTTTGCAGCAGTGCGTCCTATGGGGGAGGCTCCACCTGCTCAAAGAAAGCGCCAAGAACAGCCAAGATCTACTCCATGGGGGGGGGAGGGGGGATACGAGGGCCCGCGCCGATCGGCAAACCAATGAATAAGAAACCGCAGCGCAAGGCCACCGGAACGAGGCGCAGCAGCGATGGCAAGCCTACACGAACAAAAGCCTGCGTAAACATAAACTCTCGGAACCGGAAATCCGAAAAAATCTGAACCGGAAATCCGGAAATCCGAAAGTCTGTGCTTGTGCCGTGTCGCCTGCCTCGAAGGTCGGCAGGGCGAGGGACAGGAGGTCGGTGCGGCCAGAGGAGGGGCAGAGAAAGTGGGCCTCTGCTTCTCCGCCGCCCCCCGCGGCCTCCCTGCGCAAAGCCGACCGTGCGGCTCGCGCGTCGCCCTTCCTGGAGAGCGGGCGCGGCCCTCCAGACACCCCGCGGCCCGACTCGCTCGAGGCATGGGCCCCCAAGCCTCTCGACCCCTTCCCCAGGGCCGGCCCTTCGTCCCGAGTCGTTCTGTCGACGGTCCCGGGGCCCGAAACGGCGGCAATCCCATCCGCCCTCTGGGCGTGAGTGGTTTAACGAGCTCGGTCGGCTGAACCCCCTTTCTCCCCCTGCCCCCTCCCCCTGGGTCTGGAGGGGCGTTCCGCGAAGCGTTGGACCCTCCACCAACCCCCCTCCACGCCTACCCCTACCCCTCCCCCCTCCATCCCCCCGTCCAGCCCCCCCTCCACCCCCCCGCCAGACCCCCCACCCTCCACCACTCCCCCTCCACCACCCCGCCAGACCCACTTCCAGACCCCCCCACACTCCTTCATCAAGGCAGCTCGACTGGCAATTGCTTTGGGACGGGCCGGTGGGGATGCGAGCAGATGCCTAGGAGGGTGGCGCGGGCTGCACCAACCGCTTCCCCTGGGGGTACGGCCTGCAACTTCGGGATGGCGTGTCGCCTAGGCGGCCCCAGCGACGCGCTATGCCTTGCGAGTGGTTCACGCGTCGCTCCGCCCAGCGAGGCGGGAGGCTCAGAAAGGCACGGGACGTTGACGCCTGGGGACCAGGAAGTGGACAGCGTGTCGCGCCGAAGCGTGGTAGGCAAGGGGCACGCTGAGCCACGCGCTCCGGGCTTCTTGATAAGCGAGGGGGGGTACCCTTCCGACGGGGGTCAACCTCGCCTCGTCGTCGCGCCGCGACGGGTGTCGGAGCGCCTTTGGCGCGCGGCGGCTGCCCGCGACGGGAGCCGATGCAGGGCTGTCGGCGGGGGTGACGCCCCCCTGACGCCCATTAAGAAACCCGGAGTACCCTCCTGGGGAGGGCCTCGGCCATGTTCTCGATGAAGAGCTCTGCCAGCCCGTCCGACATGTCCCCTCGGGCGGGGCGGGCGAGCGCCACCCCCGCGCGGGCGAGAGGCGGAGAAGGGCCGGCCGAAGCAGCGGGCGACCCTCCTCGGCACTCTCCGCCCCTGTTGGGCCTCAGGGAGGCTCCGCGTCGCCACGGCCAGCCGGATAGCGAGTACGAGTCTAAGTCTGAAAGGGTCTGAGTACGAGTGAGTTTGACTACGAGTGAATATGAGGGTGGGTGGGTCTGAGTGTGAGTGATTCTGAGCGCGAGTAAATCTGAATGTGAGTGCGTCTGAGTATGAGTATGATGGATATGAAACTGGCCCTGAGTAGGTCTGAGTACGAGTGAGTCTGACTACGAATGAATATGAGGGCGGGTGGGTCTAAGTGTGAGTGAGTCTGAGTGTGCGTAAGTCTGGGTGTGAGTGAGCCTGAGTATGAGTATGATGAGTGCGAGTCTGAGTATGAGTGAGCCTGAGCACGAGTGAGTTTGAGCATAAGTGAATCTAGGACATCCTCGCAATCTGGGCCCTCTGGGAGTGCGGAAATCAGCGCCTCGCCATAGACATCCTCAGAATCTGCTTTGACAGCAGACGAGTCTGACCGCCAAAACATGCAAATCGCCTGAGACATCCTCGAAATCTGGCCCCCTGGGGTGCGCAAACCAGCGCCTCGCCTGAGACATCCTCAGAATCTGCTCCGACTCAGAATCTGCTCCGAAAGCGGAGGATGTTCGCAACCAAAACAGGCAAACCAGCTGAGACATCCCCACCATTTGGGCGCGACCGGAGGCGGAGGATGTTCGCAACCCAAACAGGCAAACCGCCTGAGACATCGCCACCATTTGGGCGCGACCGGAGGCCGTGTAATCCCCCTGGCGGCCCCCCCTTAGGAGTGCTAAAACCAGCAAACCGCTCGAGACATCCTCATCATCTGCTCATCGTCATCATCGTCATAATCATCATCATCATCATCATCATCATCATCATCATCATCATCATCATCATCATCATCATCATCATCATCATCATCATCATCATCATCATCATCATCATCATCATCATCATCATCATCATCTTAATCATCATCCTCATCCATCATTCACCATCACCATCATACTCACATCGTACTCTCACCATACCATGGCCATCATCATGACAATCAGCATCATTGTCTAGTGCAGAGAGGGAGGAGGGGAGGGGTGGTCCGGCGCGGTCGGAGAATAAAAAGAACCCCATCCTTTGAATATGGGGAATAACAAGAACCCCATCCTTAGGAGATGGGGAGCAAGGAACTGGAAAAACATGATTTTAACGTAGGCCCGCGAGGCTGAGGCCGGGCATGCCGTCCTAGTTGTGTTGAATCCCATGTATTCGCATTAGTGTTATTATTCTAAATTTGAATGTTAAGTTCATTAGTATGTGCGTTCGTCTTGTAATTAATCGTATACGCTTCTTGTTAACATTCTTAGTAATAGCATTCGTATTTTTATTCGTGTTCGCATTAGTCTTGGTATTATGATTGTTCTTCGTAGTGGTACTACTCTTCATATTATTACTAGTATTCGTCAGATCATTCCTACGATTCGTCGTACTCTTACACTGAGTCTCATTATGATTATACTTGTCCATACTGTTACTCGTCTTCTTCTTCCTCCTCCTCCTCATCATCCTCCTCCTCCGCCTCCTCTTCCTCCTTCTCCTCCTCCTCCTCATCCTCCTCCTCCTTCCCCACCCCCTCCTCCTCCTCCTGCTCCTCCACCTCCTCCTCCTCCTCCTCCGCCTCCGCCTCCGCCTCCACCTCCGCCTCCGCCTCCGCCTCCGCCTCCGCCTCCGCCTCCGCCCTCGCCTCCGCCTCCGTCTGCACCTCCTCCTCATCCTCCTCCTTCACATCCTCGTCCTCTTCCTCCTCCTCCTCCTCCTCCTCCTCCTCCTCCTCATCATCATCATCATCATCATCATCATCATCAGCATCATCATCATCATCATCATCATCATCATCATCATCATCATCATCATCCACTCTTCTCCCTTATGAATAATTCCTCCCTGTCACACCCCGAGGCTGGTCGAAAGGGCGAGCCAGGCGTTCCTCCGGAGACTCCCTCATCAGTTGCGACCCTGAAGCTTAAACATTGGCAACAGATCTACAAATGGAAGACATGTGGTCTTCAAAATGTGGCTCTCGCCTTAACGCCGCGCACGTTCGTTTTCAGAAATTGCCAGAGTGTCACGGACTGGAGGCGGGTCGTTGTTATGTGCCCCTCGCCTTGGCGCCGCGCACGCTGGTCGCCAAAAGTCTGCAAGAATTTCACGGATTGAGGGCGGATGGCTTTCAAAATTGGGCTCTCGCCTTAGCGCCGCGCACACTCGTCTTAAACATGTGCAGGATCTTCACGGATTAAGGGCGGCTCCTTTTCAACATATGGTTCTCGCCTTAGCGCCGCGGACATTCGCTGTTTTGAATATGCAAGTTGTCATGGATTCCCATGGTCAACGTACCAGAAACAATGTTTGGAACGGCTCAGGACTTTCAGGGCACAACAGTTACGTGGATCCGCGGTGTTGAAGTCTCAGGACTGGCGTGCTGGCACGATTCAGGATCGTCAAGGCGCAACAGGCAGGTTGATTCGTGGCGTTGGAGTCCTGAGAATGGTATTTTGGCACGCTTCAGGATCTTCAAACGATTGTCTCCCAACGGGGCACTTCCCTCAGCGGAACTGAACCTTTGTAGGGGCCTATGCAGAGGGTGGATTCCAACATCCTTGAAGAGTCTTGGGTTTGCATTGGTCCTCCTCCTCCTCCTCCTCCTCCTCCTCCTCCTCCTCCTCCTCCTCTTCCTCCTCCTCTTCATTATCCTCGATGCACAGAGGGCTGTCAAGTGACGGCGTCTGGTTGGCAAGCAGCCGCCACGGAGAGCCGTAGTCGCTCAATCGGCAACGGTTTGCGAAGCATCACCTCCCAGCCGCGACATCGTCATCAGCACTGTGCGCACCAGGCCTATTTCGCCAGGTACGACTGCTGCACGTCGGAGACAGCTCTGGGCCCATCTTGCCAAGCTACTTCGACCTGGCCACCTTCAGGACGTTCACACTGAGCAGGGCAAAGAGTTTGTCAACGGAGCTTGGGATGTCATACACCTGGCTTGTCGACAACCGACCCAGATACTTGTGCTGTGCTTACAGGCCTTTGCAGATGTGGTGATTAACTACGTCGACACTTTGGAACGGCAGGCAGCGAATCAACGCACAGCTAAGTTCAAGGCCTGGGCGAGGGACGCTATGGTCACGGGCCCAGCTCAGATACATTCTATCACCAGGATTCAGCCCTGGGCTCATGCGCAAGTTCAGCAGGGCAAGACCGTCACCTCCAACCCTCAGGTGATTGCCGACAGTCAAATGGACAGCTGGAAGAGCATATGGGAGGGAACTACCATCGAAGATGACGCGTCACCGGCCCCAGCTGCGGATGAGCAACGAGATGACCTGGCTGACACTCTTCGGCGACTTCCAGCTGCAGCACTGCCTGTACCTACTGTCGAGCATGTCCGCCGTGCTGCACGTACTTTCAAGCGGAGGGCGGGGCTCGGAGCGGATGCTATGCCGCCCAGGGCTATCTCCCTCTTGCCGGATGCAGCAATCGCCATGCTAATATACATCTATTGGGCAGCCGAGTCTTGGATGCGATGGCCAACTGCAGTGCTTAATGTCCACATTATGCTGCTGGCCAAACCCCAGGGCGGCTTCAGGCCCATTGCACTGCTTCCAGCGATATATCGCATCTATACTAAGATGAGGGTTGATCACATTCGAGCATGGGTGGCGAATAATTGTAGACCTTATTTTGCGCTCGGTTCGCAAAAGTGCACTTTGGATGTGGGCGCACACACTATGGTCTATGCCGAAGCTTTCTCGCAGCATGCCACCAAAGCGGTCACCACCACCCTGGTTGACATCAGTAAATGTGTTGACAGAATATGCTGGCGGAGGGTACTGCAGGCGGCAGAACACTTTCGCTTCCCCGCTCAGATATTACAGCTATCCCTGGCCATGTACTACGCGCTGCGGCGGATCAAGTGGAATGCCACCTACTCGTACGCGTGCCAGGCCCACAGAGGTGCTTCCTGGATGCTCGGTGGCGATGTTTCTACTGCAGCTGGTTATGATGCTGCCTTTCGATGTCTTTGAGAAGTCCTTTGAGGCGCATGTCGAAGTACATCGCTCTCTAGACATCTATGCGGATGACATCACCATACAGGTAGTAGCCACCATGCAGGACATTGTCTACCAGTCGGCCCGCATACTTCAGCGGCTTGCGGCAGTCCTGAAGGCCATCGACCTCCCGATTGCGAAGGACAAGGCTAAAGTTCTGGCCTCTGATTACAGTATTGCCCAGCAGGTAGCCCATCAAGTGTACCTGCATGGCTTCAGGCCCTACACGACTCTCGAAGTTCTGGGAATGGAAACCAGAGGCGGACAGGCACTACGCTATACATCTATTCGGAAGAGTGTTGCCAAGATGCGACGACGACTCCCTCGCGTTCGTCGTCTTTGTGGCCTGGCCAAGATTGGACGGGCAGTGGCCCAACCTGCGATAGGCCCAGCTATGCATTATGGCGTGCAGATCGTCGGGGCTACTAAGGCGCTGTTGAAATCAATGGTCAACATGGTCCGCGTAAGCTGGCAGAGGACCCCCCTGGCACGCCCACATGGCTTGCGTCTCGGCTGGAACATCGGGACAATGAGCACCCTGAACTCCCGGCTACAGCGGGGCCTATCTACACGTGGGCACCCTTGGTCACGGAAGACAAGGTCCCGAATGATGTGCTCGGGCAGGCCTTCCAGCAGCAGCGGATCCAACTCGGACCTTGCCCCCGACATGCGGATATTGCAGGCCCAGCTGGAGCGGTCTTGGTGGCACTTAACCGTCTCAACTGGCGCGCTTACTCGGCCACAGCCTGGACTACGTGCACAGGAATACCACTGGATCTCACTACGGACTCTCCTGACTGGGCCCGAACGCTGGCAAGGAGGGACTTCGTCAACGTGCGCTTCGAAGAATGGAGTCGTCAGAAAGATCACGCCCCTGAAGGTCAACCAGCTGATCGTAGGCCCTGTGGATACTGGATGGCACCTCTGAAGCTCCTCCTTGCCCCCAAGCAGCTGGCCAAGAAGTGGCACCTTGGAGATCAGGCCCGCACGGCACTGCGCAGCACGATCATTGGCGGCCAGTGGTCTCAAGCTAGGCTTAACCAGTACGGCTACGCTCCAGATGACTTGTGTCAGTATTGCTTGGACTGCCCGGGTAAGTTGCATCATCGCCTTTGGTGTTGCCCCATGTTGCAGCAGGAGCGCGAGGAGGCAGTGGACTCAGAAGTGATCCAGGCAGCGCGAGCGGCTCCTCAGTCTGACCTCTTGTTCACGCGCGCGCTCATGCCTCGTGACGCTCTTCCACGTATTTCTGCACCGTGCATGCGCGAAGTCTGGAGTTCTGCACACGGTGGAGATACGGCGGCTCTCACTGGCGACATCTACACGGACGGCTCAGGACTTGCCCCCATTGGCTGGCCAGAAGCCAATAGAGCGGGCTGGGGCATAGCAATGATGACAGGTCAGACCATGAGAGGCATTGCATACGGACCCTTGCCAGGACATCAGCAGTCAGTACCACGTGCAGAGCTCTATGCAGTTACCCAGGCCTTGAGACGTGGCACGGCCCCGATGCACATACGTACGGACTGTATTGGCATCGTTGAGGGACTCCAGCATGGTCGCGAATGGTGCATCCACTCAAGCAGGCCCAACAATGACACATGGAAGCTGCTGTGGCACGCCCTTGACGACCATGGCGGCTTATCATCGCAGATTCAGGTTTCATGTGTTCGCTCTCACCAGACGGAGGCCGAGGGCACGAACGACAAGAAGGGTAATGACTACGCGGACGTTGCAGCCAAGCGAGGTCTGGCAATGCATGCCCTGCCCAAGGAGGTCATAGGCCTCCATGCCCACATGCTCAACATTGTCAGGCAGGTGGCATGCTGGATTGGTAACTCCATGACACTTGCTGACGGACGTGATCGGCAGTCACCGCCTGCTCGGCGCCCTCGTCGTAAGCACCGCCGTCCCCTGCGTCCTGGCCCTCGACCTCTTCCTCTGCTCGTGAAGGGCCAGCGCCTGCACGACCCTCGCCCAGGGCAGGCAGGTGGTTGGAAATGCAAGTTTTGTCAGCGCTTCGCGCGGACCACAGCTGGACGGAAGCGTATGGCTCGTGAAGTTTGCACGGCTTGGGCCCCCCCTGAACCTCACAAGCCCCGACCCCAACCCGAAGCTGTGAGCCCACCCGCTGCGCCCTCCCAGGATGCCCCCCCTAGCCTCAAGAGGAGCCTGGAGGGCGACAACTCCTTGGAGGATGGTGTGGAGGAGGGTCCTGAAAGGAAGGTGCGTCGCGGGGAGGCCTCCGCTTCCTCCTCCTCCTCCTCCTCTCACCTTGACCCCCTCCCCTCGCCGTCTCCTCCCTCGCGGGCTGGGGGGAACGTTCGGAAGCCTGAGGATGAAGGGGAGGAGCCTTTTTATCAGACCTGACCGCCGAGTCAGGCCCAGGGTCCAATTTGAGCCTCGAGTTGTCACCCGCGTGCGCGAGGCTGCTTCTGCGATTGGACAAGGCTCGGAGAAGCGCCCCAGACTCGCTGCGGCCACCACTCGGGCCAACGCCACCCCTCCCAGCAGTGCCCTCCCTGCGGATGGGGTTATCCCTCCATCGGCGGCTCGCGGCCACGTCTTATATCGTGCTGGCGAAGTGGTCGGCTGTGTGAAGTGCGGCTCCTTTTCCGAGCGATCTCACAGGTCGCAGTTGTACAATGTGTGTGAGGGGCCCAAGGCCTTCGAAGGCAACCCGCAGCGAAAGTGGCGCCGAGATAACTTCGCTTCGGGTCGCCATCCTCGTGATGGCCGAAAGCATCCGCTTCCGCTCCCGAGGAGAATGCTCGTCTCCGATCCAGCAGTGCAGTTGCTTGGTCTCATGCCATAATCCTTATTCAACTTGTTTGTCTTTTGTCGGGGGCTGGTGTTCTGATCGCCCCCGCCCTCTCTGCTACCCCAGGCCTTCCCTGGGCTGCCACACTTGTCCTATCAGTATAAGATCGGTGTGTGAGGATATGTTTCGTTATCGTGCATGTTCTCTCTAATGTCTGTGAGAGATTGTGCTCTTCTCACCTTTTCCCATCCGTCTGCCCCGTCCTGCACCCTGACTCGGCGCGTCTCCTTCATGTGCTCGCTGCTCCTCCTCCTCCTCCTCCTCGGCAGAGCGGGTGTGCGGGGGCGCACCGGTGCGAGCGAGTGGCGGATCGAGAGCGCCACGACGACGACGATAACAACGACGATGACCACGACGACGACGACGACGACGACGACGACGACGACGACGACGACGACGATGAGGACGAAAACGAAGACGAGGACGAGAACGAGAACGAGGGCGAGAGCGAAGACGAGGACGAGAGCGAGGACGGCGAGGACGATGAAGCCGACTGACGACGGGCGAGGCCGAGGACTACAACGGGCGACGGACAACGGACGATGATGACGACGACGACGACGAGGACGACGACGAGGAGGACGACGACGACGACGACGAACGACGAAGGACAAACGACGGCCGACGACAGACGGCGACGGCGACGACGGACAACGAACGACGACGACGACGACGACGACGACGAAGCAGCAGCTCTAGGCGCAGGGCCGAGCTCCGCTGGGTCGAAGTCAACCCTGAGCGCCACCAGCGCCCCGAGGGCCACAAAGAACTCCCCCAGCGAGAGTTCCATGTGCCTGAAGGACTCCACGTCCTCGAGAGATCGGTGGTTCTCTTCGTCCTCCTCCTCCTCCTCCTCCTCCTCCTCCTCCTCCTCCTCCTCCTCCTCCTCCTCCGCTCCTCCTCCTCAATCCTCCTCCCTCCTCCTCCTCAGTCATCCTCCCTCCCTCCTTCCCTCTCTCCCCCCTCCATCCCCCGATCCCCCTGCCCATCCTGCTCCAACCGCTCCACCTCCTATCCTGTTTCCTTGTTCATAGATGCTCCTGCTATGCCACCTAAACGGCCAATACGGGCTCCATCCAGGTCGACCTGTAAAACTTACTCTGCGACGTACCCAGCCCTTTCTACACCTGTGGCGGCGATACACAGGACCGATCAATGCAAACGAACATGTTCAAGGACCCGCAGGAGCCCACGAAAGTGGCGACGGTTGCGCACTTCACAGCCCCCCAGGAAGCCGCGAGGTCTCGGCTGGATGTGTTTACATCTCCACTCCGCTGGGCCTCCCAGGAGCCCACGACAATGGCGACGGTTGTGCATTTCGCAGCCACCCCAGAGGTGGAGCCGCGAGGTCTCGGCTGGGCGCTTTACAGCTTCACTGCGCTGGACCTCCCAGGAACCCACGAACGTGGCGACGGTTGCGCAATCCACAGCCCTCTCATGGAGCCGCGAGGTCTCGGCTGGATGTGTTACAGCTCCACTCCGCTGGGCCTCCCAGGAGCCCACGAAAGTGGCGATAAATGCTCACCTCGCAGCCACCAATGGAGCCGCGAGGTCTCGACTGGGAGTGTCTACACATCCACTGCGCTGGGCATCCCAGGAGCCCACAAAAGTGGTGACGGTTGCGCATTTCGCAGCCGACCCAGAGGAGCTGCGAGGTCTCGGTTGGGTGCTATTCTATAAATCCACTGCGCTGGGCCTCCCAGGAGCCCACGAAAGTGGCGACGGTTGCGCACTTCGCAGCCCCCCAGGGAGCCGCGAGGTCTCGACTGGGTGTGTTGACATCTCCACTGCGCTGAGCCTCCCAGGAGCCCACAAAAGTGGCGACGGTTGCGCACTTCGCAGCCAGCTTGGTATTTGTACAACTCCACTCCACTGGGCATCTCAGAAACCCACGAAAATGGCGACGGTTGCGCATTTCGCAGCCACCCCAAAGGAGCCGCGAGGTCTCGGCTGGGTGTTTTCTACAACTCCACTGCGCTGGGCCTCCCAGGAGCCCACGAGAGTGGCGACAGCTGCGCACTTCGCCGAGGACAACAACAGCAACAGCAACAACAACAGCAACAGCAACAATAGCAGCAGCAACAGCAACAATAGCAGCAACAACAACAACAACAACAACAACAACAACAACAACAACAACAACAACAACAACAACAACCACGACGACGACGACGACGACGACGACGACGACGACGACGACGACGATGACGATCCCCCAAAAGAGTCCTCGACGTGATGTTGCCGCCCGAGGGCGAACGCGTAGCCGACCTTCCTGAGAGGAGGCGCGCGCGCGCCCGCGCGGGCCCCGAGTCGCCGCCGCCGCCGTCGCCGTCACCACCGCCGCCGCCGTCGCCGTCGGATCTCGTCGTCGTCCTGGTCCGTCCGTTCACCACTCGCTGGATGTCCCTCGTCGGTTCATCTTGTCGTCGTCCTCCTCCTCCCTCCTCCTTCAGGGCGCGCACCCGCGCGCTCGGGAGGATGATGAGGAGGAGGAGGAGGAGGACAAGAAAAAAACAAGCTGTATCAGCGATGCTGCCATACACCCTCCCGTCCCAGGCCACGTCCCTACAAGCTTTCCATTTCCACTACAAAAGGCGCCCACCTGAAAGACCAGCGCCACATGGGCCTGCAATTTGGGCGAGGGCCCCGCGCTGAAAAGGAAACGCCTTGCATCCTTCTGGCGCTTCATCAGGAATACGGACATGTATGACCACAGCTCAATTTGATTCCCAGCCACATACCCGTTTCGGATGTCTTTTATTTGTTTAAAAAAGCTGCGTAACCGCTGCACAAGTGTACGCTTGTGGCCATGAATTTCGAGGAAGTCGCAATCGAGAGCTTCATTTTGCAAAGAAGCCGCCCTCGATCCAGACAGTACTACATGTGTTGAGGCTTCGGGTCTTGAAAGTTAGGGAATCTTCAAGCAAAAGCTTCAGTTTGAAACAAAACCGTCCTTCACACTCCGAACTGTTGCAAACGTTTGAGACGAATGCGCGCGGCGCCAAAGAGCTACATCATGAATACGATCCCCCCTCCATCCTTGCAACTGCGCGTTGCGCTAAGGCGAGAGGGCGAGAGCTCGATGTTGAAAACGACTCACCCATGCTTGAAACTGCTGCAAAAGTTTACGGCGAATGCTTTGAAAACGATCCCCTCCATCCCTGCAACTGTTGAACTGTTTTAGAGTCAGCATCATAAGTTGCGCGGAGGTCTCAGAGAAGCGCCCGGCCCGCCCTACCGACGCGCCCGGTCAGACGGGGCAGAATTATCAACACGGAACAGGACTGCAGGAGGCGGAGGGCGGTGGAGGAGCGTGCAGGAGGCAATCGGAGGAGGAGGAGGAGGAGGAGGAGGAGGAACAGGAGGAGGAGGAGGAGGAGGAGGAGGAGGAGGAGGAGGAGGGGAGGGCGGCGGCGGCGGAGGAGGAGGAGGAGGAGAGGCGGGGCAGGAGGAGGGGACGGGGGCCCTCCGGCGCCCGACGCGCGCCGTCCTGGGGGTCAGGCCCGCCTGGGCCACCTCGGCGTCCTCGCACAGCAGCAGCCACGCCCCGAAGCTCAGCCCCGCCGCCGCGGGGCGCCTCCGTGGCCGGTGCCCGCCGCCGCGGCCCGCCGCCCGCCCGCGCGGGCCCTCGCCGGCGCGGCCAGCCGCCGCCGCCCAGCCGCCGCGGCCAGGCGAGCGAGGACTCGAGGCTCGGGGGCCGATGAGCGACGCGAGGGCCAGGCAGACGCCCTGAGGCGATCGATGGGGCCAGGAGGAGCGAGGGCGCTCTTCGCCAGCGTGGGGCCTCCAGCAGGTTTCTCGTCGCCGCGGCTGAATGATCTCCGAGATTCCTGCCCGAGTGCTCCCCGAGAGAGGCCTAAAGAGGGGGGTGGTTATCGGGATCGGAAGGAGGAAGAGGGCAGGCGGCGCGTGAAGTTGGCGGCGCAGAGGTGGCACGAGGGGGGGGGGGCGGCACTCTGAGAAGGCGGGGGGGCTATTAGAAGGCAGGGGGGTTTCGTAGTGGGGCCCAGCTTGTGAGAAGGCTTCTTAAGAGCCGGGAGAGCTTCTAAAAGGCTACCTGCCTTCTTAGAAGCCCCCCGCCCTCTTCCGAGGCCGCCCCCTCCGCGGCAACCAGCTGTGGGCGCCGCCAGATCGGACTCTGTTGCTTTGCACCCTGGATGTTTTCTGTTTTCTGGAGCGCCCTCTCGACCACGGTCGGATCCGGATCCGCATCGGCTTTCTGGCCTAAGGGCGTCCCAGACATGCGGGGGGCCAGGGCAAGATCGGTCGACATTGCGTCGCGAGATCGGGTCGACTCGGAAAGTGCGGCGGATCGGGCCGCACCGGCACGGAGTCGGAGTCGAAATCGAACCGGCTCGGCTGCACCAGGGTGCACAGCAGGGCCAGGCAGGCCTCGGGCCGCATGGGATCGCCAGAGAAATCGAAAGCGAGATCGAAATCGGATCGAGCTGGCCGAAACCGTATCGCATCGGATCGATCGGATCGATCGGATCGAAGCGGGCCCCGCCCCAGGGCGAGGGCCGAAACGGGGGGGGGGCCTTCTGCCACCAGAGGGCCCCCTCCCCCCGCTTCTCGGGGAAGGCGCGGGGCGCGTGGTCCTCCAGAGGGGGGTCGACCCATCCTTCAAGGAGGGACCTCGCGTTGATTCTTCGGGGGGCCAGCGATCCGCGTCAAATCCGCGTCGAATCCATGCCTGATGCCGGATCCACACCGAATCCGCGTCGAACCAACGTCCAATCCAAGAGGGCGCCTGCCTCTACCGTTGAGGGCTTAACGGGTTCCCTCAATCTCTCGAAACGCGCTGGATCTTCCACGGGTAGGCCCTCGGGGGCCCTTCTCGGGAGGCCAACCCGCTCCACCCCCCTTCCCTGCACCCCTCCCCCGTCCTCCGGCGCCACAGGCGCATCGCGAAGCGGGGCCCCCGTGGCCCTCGACTCCTGTCCCCTCCTCCTCCTCCTCCTCCTGCTCCTCCTCCTCCTTCTTCTTATTATTATTGTCATTAACAGAACTATTACTATAATTATAATGATTAATATCTTTGTGTTATTATTATGATTCCGGAGAAAAACCCAATCATAATATTTTTAGGGTTTTAAGGCTATGGAGCTATAAGGCTATAGGGCTAGAAGGCTATGGGGCTATAGGGCTACAGGGCTACAGTGCCATAGGGCTATAGGGCTTTTGGGCTATAGGGTTATGGGGCTGTAGGGCTACAGGACTATAGGGCTATCGGACTATAAGGCTATAAGGCTATAGGGCTATTAGGGCTATAGGGCTACAGGGCTATAGGGCTATAGGGCTATATAGAGCTACCAGGCACCTGGGCACCCGGGCACCTGGGCACCCAGGCACCCGGGCACACGGGCACCCGGGCACCGGGGCACCTGGGCACCCGGGCACCCAAGCACCCAGGCACCCGGGCACCCGGGCACCCCCGGGCACCCGGGCATCCGGGCGTGCGGCGAAAATCGGCGGCAAACCTAACCTAACCATACGAATCCGCTAGGACGCCTACAGAGGCAAGCTCTGATTGGGGAATTACTCGTATTAATATTATAGTAATAATAATAGTATTACTATGGTTACTGCTATTATTATGTAGAAAATAATATGATTATTCTTGATATGAATACTTGTATCATTAAAATTTGTATGAGTAAAAAGTTTAGTGCTTTTATGATTGGTATTAATGTTATTAGCAATACAATTCAGTGTAGTACTATTAAGTGCATTCTTATCAATATTACACCTACGATTATTAATAGTAGCATTAGTATTGGTATTAGTACTAATAATATTACTGTTTTAATAAGTATTATTATTGTTATTATTATTGATAATACTACGATGACTACTACTGGCCATCGCAATAATAATAACACTCGTATAACTAGTATTTTGATTATTCGTAGGATGATTGATAATATTGCTGTTGTGCTTGTTCTTAGTAGTATTAGTAGTAGTAGTAGTAGTAGTAGTAGTAGTAGTAGTAGTAGTAGTAGTAGTAGTAGTAGTACTACTAGTACTAGTAGTAGTACTAGTAGTAGTAGTAGTAGTAGTAGTAGTAGTAGTAGTAGTAGTAGTAGTAGTAGTAGTAGTAGTAGTAAAACTAATAGTTGTAGTAGTAGTTGCTGTACTACTATTATTAAGCTTGTTAGTGTTATTACGAGTACTAATAATAATGTTACGGTTAGCTTTATTATTCTTATGAGTAGCATTGCTAATATTATTATATTAGAACTAGTAGTATTCGTCGGATGTTTACTACTATACGTATGATTAGTGCTATTAGTGATAGCTTTATCCTTCATAGTATTATTGCTGGCATTCGCATTAGCATTGTTATTAATATTCTCCGTATATAAATATGATCACGAGAATGATTCGTGTCAGTTTCATGCTTGTTATTACAATTATTAGTCATCGTATTATTCAGTCTGTCTTGTTAGTCTTAAGTGTCGCATTAATACTCTTATTATGCTTCCCCTCCTCCTCCTCCTCCTCCTCATCCTGCTCCTCCTCCTCCGCCTCCTCCTCCTCCTCTGCCTCCTCCTCCGCCTCCTCCTCCTCCTCCTCCGCCTCCTCCTCCTCCTCCCCAGCGACCCTGGGGCTGGAGAGAAAGAGAAAGAAAGAGAGAGGGACCCTGGGACCGACGAGGGCCTCGACGTCGCAGGCCTGGGTTCGCGCGCGGCCAGGCGGCGGCTTGGGGGGGGCGGGCGCGCCCGGGGTAGCACAGCTTCGTCCTGTAGGCCTCGTACACCGCCTCCAGCAGCCCACGGCACTCCCTGCGCGGAGGGGCGTCTGGGAGGCCTCAGTCCCGTCCTCCTGCCTCCTCCCTTCTCACCCCCCCGCTCCTCCTCCCTCCTCCTCCTCCTCCTCCTCCTCCTCCTCCTCCTCCTCCTCCTCCAGCTGCTGCTCCTCCTCCCCCCATCACGATAGCAAGTGTGGATACATCTTTTGACCGACACTGATACTGATACCTCCTCCTCCCCCTCCTCGACTCCTCCTCCTCCTCTCTCCTTCTCTCCTCCTCCTCCTCCTCCTCCTCCTCCTCCTCCTCCTCCTCCTCCTCCTCCTCCTTTCGCATCCCGCCTGGGCCCCTTCGCCCGTCCCTCGCCTCCTTTGCAAGTCTTGACGCTTCGCGGCAGTTTCTCGCCTTCCTCTTCCTGCCGCCACCCCAGACCTTGCGCGTGAGGCCGCTGGGAAACCCCCCCGGCCCAAGGCGCCGGTCTGCGGGCCTCCTCCTCCGTTGGGGGCTCTCCTGGCCGTCCCGGCGGTCTGCCAGCTGGCCCCTCCCCCCCTCGGGGATCTCCCTGGCCGCCTGGTGGTCTGCGCCTCGCATTCCGCCTGCCGCCTGCCCCTCTTCCCGCCTGGGGTCGACGGACACCCGGTCCTTCTCCTCGCTGCCCCTCTCCGTGGGTCGTGCTTCTCGCCTCCTGGGCGTCTGCCGGCCGCCGCTGCCTCTCCGGCATCTCCGCCGTTTCCCGGCGTCCGGCCCTCTGGCCTTTCCCTCTCGCCTCGCAGCTCGGTCGGGACTCGCCTCCATCGCTGCCCCTCGACACCACTCGGTGTCTGGCGATCCAGACTTTCCGTTGAGCGCCCGCATGTCCAGCCCTTCCTGCGTGTCGGGGGTCGCCGTCCTACGCTGCTCCCTGGCTTTGTCCACGGCGTGCTGTTCGTCTTGCCGGCGGTCCTCTTCATCTGGGACGTGGGCTTCTTGAATTACCATCTGGTGTTGCACGTCGCCCAGAAGTTCCTCTTGGTGCTTGCGCTCCTCTGAGCGGCAGTGAGGTTCGCATCCTGTTTGTCTCTCTCCTGCTCGTTATTGTTCTTTTCTGTTCGTTTTCCTCTTCCTTTGCGCTAATTTAGGTCATTGCTAGTTTGCAAGTCCCTGAACGCCGCCCGAACTTTCTTCGCCGCGGTCGCGATCAAAAATATCCCCACCAGCGCGTTCGACTCGTCTTCGCGCGCCCGCGTACCAAAAAGCGTCCCCACCAGCACACCCAAGACTGGACACTGAGCGAGTTGCCCTGACAAGGGATGTGTAGCAGCATGCTGCACGGCAGTGAACCCCGTCCGCCTTCGCATATACTTCGAAGGACGAGGAGGAGGAGGAGAAAGAGGAGGAGGAGGAGGAGGAGGAGGAAGAGGAGGAGAAGAAGCAAGCGGATGACACAGGCAACAATCAACCAAGGCAGCCGCGGCAAGCATTTTCCCCTAGCACCGACGACGACGACGACGACGACGACGAGGACGGAAGTCAATATCCAGACCTTCGCGATCTTTCGCTCTGGGAGCGTCTTGGAGGGCTCTTGCGGCCATCATGGGGCCCTCTTGGGGCTAATTTGGAAGCGTCGTGGGCCCTCTTGGAGCTCGAGTGGCCTCAACCTGTGGAGGTTCAGCTCGGGATCCGTTCCCGTCCCTTTGGGCCCCATCCCTGAGGGCCCCGCCTTTGAGACGCCGAACTCTGTTGCAGAGGGCCTGGTGGCCACGAATCGGCGGCGAGCGAGGGGGGGAAGTGAGAGGGATCAGGCCCTCTCAGAAGGCGGCGGGACTTCTCAGACGCCCTCGCGCCCTCTGAGAAGTTGTTTTTGTTTTCGGGGAAGGCTTAGAAAACTTTTCAGAAGGCCGCTGGGCTTCCGAGCCTTCTGAGAAGGCCTTCTCCTTCTCACTTCCCCCCCTCGCTCGCCGCCGAACGAACGAAGGTGTCCCTGCCCCTGGGCCCCCGAGAGGTTGCCCGAGGCGACTGGTCTCGTGTGACGCTGCGCTTGGGGTGCGCAGCGCATTGCCGCGCACTCCTACCATGCAACCCTGCGATATGCACTGCTGGTGTGCTGCACAATCCTATGCAATGCTGTGTTATACCATGCTGTGGCATGCTGGGATACGCAGCGCTATGACATGGTATGCGGTGCTACGCGAGACATTGATACGATACACAACGGCATGATATGGTACAATATGCTGCTATGACATTCGTATATGATACGATACAGTATGGTACTATATGATATTACATGTTGTGAAACGGTATGACATGTTATGACATGACAGGGCATGAAGACATATGTTATGAGCTGGTATGATATGATGTGGCATGATGGCGTGTGTAAAGGTATGATATGATAACGGATGATTTGGCATGATATGATACGTCAACATATAAAATGCCATGATACGGTTTGATGTAATGTGATATGCTACGTACTGATATGGTACGGTAAGGTATGGCCCGAAATGGCATTACATGCGATCACATGTTATGACGTGATATGTTATGGAATGAAATCATATGATATGATACGATATGAAATGGTATGGTGTGGTATGTTATGGCATGGCGTGACATGATATTGCATTCCATGATATGGTATGATATGATAGGATGTGCCATACTATGCTGCGTAACGACATGCGAGGTTAGGCAGTACTGCGCAATGCTGCGACACGTCAAACTGCGACATGGCATGCTGCGACACGTAATGCTGTGGCATCTAATTCGCCATGCTATGCATGAACATGTTGTGCCTTGCATTGCGTTGAATATCATATCGTTGCAGATCTACTCGGGGTCGCGAGGGGTAAAAATGTCCTCCAACTGCGCTTCAGCCTGCGAACGCTTTTGTTGCCCCGGGACCTTGGGCCCCCCTGGCCCGGAGAAAAACTGTTCCTGGGGATGGGGTCCGAGAGCTCCAGGAACCACGTCGTGGAAAAAAATGCGAGGCCAGTGGTCTGCGCATCGCATAAGACCCCAGAGCCCACAACGCATTCGCTGGGCTCTTGCCACAAATTGAGACAAGACCGCTCCTGCAGAAGCCCGCTCCGGCAGAACAGCTCACTCCGAGACCTCTCCCGCAGAAGCCCGCTTCGGCAAAGACCGCTCCAGCGGAAGCCCGCTCTGGCAGGAGCCTGATCCGGCGGAACCCCGCTACGGCAGAAGCCCGCCCTGAGAGAAGCCCACCCGTCCCGCCCGTTCGGGACCGCACGGCCCGCCCTCGCTCACTTGGAAACCCGCCCGCCCACTTTAATCTCCCGCCCGCCCGACCCGCCATGACCCGCCCGTTGGAGTCCGCCCGCCCGACTGGCCCGCCCGTTACGGTCCGCCCGCTGGCGCCGCACGTCAGGAAGATCCCACCCGTCCGCTTTGATGTCCTGCCCGCCCGACCCACCCGTTGGGGTCCGCACGCCCGACCCGACCGATACACCCGTTACGAGGTTCCGCCCGCCCGTCCCGCCAGGTCGGGAGGGCCTCCTGGCGAGCAGGCTGCCAGGCGAGCCGGCTTCTGGGCGAGTGGGCATCTGAGCAAGCGGACCTCCAGGCGAGCGGGCTTCCAGGCGAGCGGGCTCGTGCCTCCCCAATCCGACCGAAACTCTGGGTCGACCTGACACTGGCCTCAAAAGCAGCACGTAAACTGCCGGCTCTGCGCGGCAAAGACGCGCGCGTAGTGAGAGCAAGGCCGGATGAATATATACGGAGGAGGGCCGCGGGAACGGCACATGTGAATAGCTATCTGCGTGCGTGCACGCAGGGGCCTGTACAGTAGATCGCACTCCTCCCTGAACAAGTGTTCGTGCAGGGTCTGCCTCTGGTTCAACCACTTCATGTTGGTGCTCGACCGCTCCAAGAGCTGCCGCGGGCAGACGGCCAAAAGAAAGAGAAGCGCAGGAGGATGGAACAACAATGTAATATCTGGGGAAAAGGCATCCCGCCTGGCCGATCACGTCGCCGATCAAACCTCAGCCAAAGTACTACACAATCCGATCACACTGGCAGGTCCCAGCGCCGATTTCTTCGGCGATCCCACGGGCCGAGCAGACAAAAAACTTCCGGCCCAGCCATCACGCGCTGGCGTGGCTCTGGTCGCACACTTCGTGATTACGTCATCGGAAAGATTGCGATCGCGGCAGGCGGCGGTGTCGAATTCTCGGAATAGATCTGTCATCGGCTCAGCAGGCTGATAAAGACCACAGCAGGAAGCATGCAGGCGCTGTTTTGGAAGCTCGCGGGAGCGTTGCGCAAAGAGGGAAGGGGCAAACAAGCGAGGCGACGGAATAGAGGTCAGGGGTGGAAACGAAGAAGAAGGTAGGGCAGCGGGCATGCATACAAGCATGCGTTCCAACCAGAGAGAAGCAATGGTGTCGGTTGAGAAAGTTGTGTACCATCTTCTGCTTGCTGTGATGATCAACGGCGGCGATGCATCGCTGTGTAAAGCCACCGTCGACACCCACACACACACACACACAAACACACACTCTCCTGTCGTCGCGGGTGGGCGAACTCGCCACCCCGTTACAAGCGCCGCGCGGAGGACCGCGCGCGCCCAGTAGTCAGAAAGCGCGACGGCCGACCCCTCAAGGGGCAGTGGCCAGTGTGCGGCGCCGGGGCAACGGGGCAGCGAGGCAGCGGGCAGACGCCGACAGACGGCAGGGCGGCGAGAGGGCGGCGGCCGCATGGCGGGGCGCCGGGGTGGGGCGGGGCAGCGGGGCGGCGAGCGAGGGCGGGGCAGCAGGACGGGCGCAGCGCCAGAGTTCGGCGGGCAGTGCACCCCACACACACACGCACACACACAATACACACACCATACACACACACACACACAAACACACAATACACACAATACACATACATACAAACACACATACGTATATACATGCATACACACAGACCTACCTACCTAACTACCGACCTGCCTACCTACCTACCTACCTTACCTACCTCCCTACGTACATACATACATACATACATACATACATACATACATACATACATACATACATACATACATACATACATGCATGCATGCATACATACATACATACATACATACATACATACATACATACATACATACATAGAGACAGATAGGCAGACAGACAGACAGACAGACAGACAGACAGACAGACAGACAGACAGGCAGGCAGGCAGGCAGACAGGCAGGCAGGCAGGCAGACAGACATGCACACACACACACACACACACACACACTTTTGGAGCGTCGCGGCCCTGCGCGCAGCGACAGGGCGTAAAGGTCGGAACAAAATAATTCGCGTGCGCGTCTAAGCCCGCCCGAGCACTCAGAGACCACTTAGGGTCTCGCAACCACCAACAGTCATAACCATCCTGGATGAATGGCGGAGGGGAACAGTGAATGGACGGGACTACGGTGAGGTGGAAGGTGCCATAAGCCAACAGGGACAGGAAAGCGGGGGAGCGAGTAATCAGAGTGGAGCGACAAGGAGGCCAAAGACGACCTGGAAACAGAAGCGGCGACGTACCGCGAAACGTCGCAGGCTGAAAAGCCGCGAAAGCCAGCGAGGCTGGGCGACGCACCGAAAACGGCGGCGGCCGAGATGGCGGTCATTGCATGGCGGCCAAACACACAGACACACACACACACACACCAGCACAGCCAAGCGATCCTGCATTATCCAAACTGCGTGGTTGTCACGCTTGGACGCTATATACGTATAGGACAGGAGTGCCTTACGAGCGTACTGTATAGAGCTGGATGTTGGGACTCGCATCGCTTCACCTTAATATTGGTCATGTGGCCATTCATACTGCTGGAACTATCCGAGGGAGCAACTGCAATGGGGCTAAAAAGTATAATATACTGCACCAGAAGGAGAAGCAGGTTCGCGCATGTGTGAGAATGATGCGCAGGAAACAGAACCAAACTCGGACGAGAAAACGTGGGGAAAAACACTCCGACTATCGATCGCAAATGTTCACGCGACCCAAATGATACGGACAGACGGGACATGGACACGCGAGGGCGCGCGTGAGGAGAGCGTGTGGGGCCTGGCGGGCCGCGACGCAGTGCGGAACGGGGCGCACGCCAGGACCACGAGGACGAGCGCGACACGAACGAATGCGCCGAAACATGCGAGCGACGGAGTGCGTGAGCCTCCGCCGCCTCCTCCTGCTCCTCCTCCTCCTCGGCCTTCTCCTCCTGCTCCTCGTCCTCCGCCTCCTCCTCCTCCTCCTCCTCCTCTTCCTCCTGGATGCGAGTCGGGCGGAGAAACGCGTTTCTTCGGAGGTGGATGCAGGGCTCGAAGCCGACAGCGGCGTGTTGGGGCACATTGCTCCTCGACGCTGCGAGAGCAAGGATGAAGTTTAGGTTCTGGGTCTGGATTAGGATCAAGGTGATTGGTCGGGGAAACTTGCAGTCAGCTTGAGGTCGACTTCGGGCACGTAGAAGAAGGGGTTATGCTGAGGGTACTGGGTTGAGTGGGGGAGGGGGGTTATTAAGATAGTATCGGTAAGACTGCCTTCGGTTTCCTGGAAGGCCGCTGTGACAGCTGGGAGCCTGTTCGGAACGCCCCAAGGCCGTCGAACGGCCTTCTTCTACTGCTGCGTTGCTGCAGACACTGGCCCCAGAACCTGGCGACACCTTCCCAGGAGCCTGATTTCTATCCGGGGTCATGCTTCGACCATCCTGGAGCCCTGGGCCTGCCTCGATGGGCCAACTGCCCAGACGCATCCATCGCGATCTTTTCGAGTCTCTCAAAGTTCTGGGCCCTTCTTCCTCCCCCCCTCCCCCCCTCCGACTTCTCCTCCTCCTGCTCTTCTTCCTCTTCCTCCCTGATTAATATTATTAGGATTAGTGGCATCATTGTTCTTAGTACTGGTATAAATAGTATTGCGTTTTAACTATTATTGTTGTTATTATTCATACGCGTACAATTATTATTGCTAGTCATATTCTTAGTACTACTAATATTGTTAGCAATACTAGTGTTATTATTAACAGTATTACTGCCCGTATGATTACTAGTATCCGTATTACTAACGTTAGTGTTGTTATCCTTACTATAATCATAAAGTATTGTCATTATTATACGTATTACTGTTGTTATTATTGTTCCTCCTCATCCTCATCATCATCATCAGCATCATCATCAGCAGCATCAGCATCATCAGCAACCGCATGTTCATCATCGTCATCACCATCATCATCACCATCATCATCATCATCATCATCATCATCATCATCATCATCAACATCATCGCCATCATCGTCATCATCCTCATCATCATCACCCTCATAATCATCATCGGTCTCATCATCAGCATCAATAATATTTTCGTCAGCAACACCATCAAAGTCATAAATCTCATCAGCATCAGCATGAACATCATCAGACCATCTTCAATAGCATCAGTATCATCGTCATCGCCTTCATGATCATCAGCATCAGCAGCATCATTATCAACATCACCATCGCCATCCTCATCATCATCATCATCATCATCAGCAGCAGCAGCAGCAGCATCATTCATATCATCGTCATCATCGTCATCAACAATAGCATCGCCAGCATCATCGTCATCATTGTCATCATCATCGTCACCACCGTCATCGTAATCATATTCAGACACATCATCCTCATCTGTCGTCATCATCGGCATCCTCATCATCATCATCGTCCTCGTCTGTCGTCGTCATCATCCTCATCATCATCATCATTATCGTTATTCACATCAGCATCATCATTAGCACATCATCGTCATCATCACACGTTAATCATCAGCAGCACCAGAACTGTCATCGTAATCATTACCACCATCACAATCATTTTCATCATCATCATCATCATCATCATCATCATCATCGTCATCGTCGTTTTCGTCATCATCAGTATCAGTATCATTATGATCATGGGCAGCAAAAGCAACATCAGCATCACCATCATCACACCTCACCAACACCCCTCATAAACATCAGCCGCAGAGCATCATCATAGTGATTACCATCACGATCACAATCACAATCATCATCATCATCATCATCATCATCATCATCATCATCATCATCATCATCATCATCATCATCATCATCATCATCATCATCATCATCATCTTCACGATCAGCATCATCACCATCAACTTCATCATCCTTATCATTATCATCATCGTCATCAGCATCACCACCACTATCACAATCACCACCACCACCACCATCCCTCCCTCTCCTCCTCCTCCTCGGCCTCCCTGGCTCTGCACCTGAGTGCGAGGGGGGAGGGGCTGGGGCCTCGGACACGGCCGCGGCCGCGGCATGGTCAGGGTGCTCGCCGGGGTCGACGAACTGGTGCACGGCCACCCGCACAAAGGCCTCCAGGCCGTTCGGTTTCCCCTGGCTCCTGCTCCCTCCTCCTCCTCGCGAGTCGCTGGCGCAACGCGGGTCCCCCCTAACCAGCACGTCGAGGCCGACGCGCTTGGAACCTCGCCAATCGGATCTGGGCGATACACTGGGCCTACTCCCTCCTCCTCCTCCTCCTCCTCCTCCTCCTCCTCCTCCTCCTCCTCCTCCTCCTCCTCCTCCTGCTCGTACCCGTGCCTCCTGCTCGGTCATCCTGGCTCCCCTCGCTCCTCACCCGCTCCTTCTTCAAAGCAGGTCCTCCAATTCGCACCAATAGGACGTCTCAGTGCGGCGGGCTGGCGGGCGTTTCGCCTGATACCTGCTCACGCTTATGGTCTTGAAGCTTGACATGACACACATGGAGCGCGAAGGATTTTCACAGTGTGGCTCTCGAACGAGCGCTGGGCACATTCACCCGGTAAGTTTCAACAAACGTGGCGATGGGGGCGGCTCGTTTTTTCAAAATGTGGCTTGCGGCTCAGCGCCGGGCACATTCATTTGAAATGCTTCAAACATGTAGAGATGGAGGGCAGATCGTCTTCAAGATGCGGTTCCCGATTGAGCGCTGGGCATACTCATTCGAAAATCTTCTCACGACTACAGAGATGGAGGGAGGCTCCGATTCAAAATGTGGCTCTCCCCTTCGCATCGCGAACAGTCGTGAGAAAAGCTGATACCAGCTACATGGGTGGAGGGTGATTGCTTCTTTGATAAGGATTGCGCTTGAGACTTCCTTTGATGATATAACCGGAAAAACAACCAGCCCACACAAACAGTACGGACGGACGGAAGGCGGCTCACTTACAAAATGGGGCGACCGTTCGAGACTTTTCCCCGCATGCGCAGCAGCTGCACCGATCGAGGGCAGCTCTTTTTTCGAACCGGAGCTCCAGCTGGACGCCTCCCAGAGCTTGATTGAGTATCGCTTAACCGATCCCCATCCCCAGCGGCGTGGCCTGGGCCCCACTGGCCGATGTACCCTCCCAGATGGGGATATAGGTCGTTCCCTTCGGGTTTCGAGAGGGTGTATCCCTAACTGGGGGGGTAATTTGGGGGGGGTCTCGATGGGGATGGGGATGGGGATGGGGGTCGGATAAACGATAACTTTTTTTGTTTCACTTCCGGCAATTCGCGCACAGAGTAGCGGAAAATGCGCAGCGAACGCGCCAGCTTGGCGCAGTGGGCCACGCGCCGAATGAGGGGAGCCAAGATCGAGACCGACGAGTCGAGGCAGAGGCGATCACCACGCGGCCACTGAGGAAGCAGCACGGCAGTCGGCGCCCTCGCCTCCACGCGGTGCGCCGCGCTGGCGGCTGACGTATACGCCACCGCGCCAGGTCGCTATATGTCGTCGTGGGCGAGGCCCGCTCTTCTGGGGGAGGAGGAGGAGGAGGAGGAGGAGGAGGAGGAGGAGGAGGAGGAGGAGGATACCGACTCGATGATGCTCCATCTTCGCCAGTCTGAGTGCTCGAGGGATGCAGGGCGCCCCCCCCCCTCAAAAGCGGGGCGCCCCGCCCGATGGGCAGGCCCGCGAGGCGGCCGCCTCTCTCGGGGGCGGGGCGCTTGTTTGTCCGCGGGAGGCGTGCAGGGGCCCGCGGTGCGGAGGGGACGCGTGGGTGCGGGAGGGCGAGCTGCAGCAGCGTGGACGCACCCCAAATCCTAGGCTCACGCTGGTCCTCCTGCTCCCCCCCCCCCACCCCCTGTCCTTTCCTTTCACACCCCTGCTAAGCGCGTCGCTCGGGTGTTGCGGCTGCTGCGCTACACACTTCCCTTCTGCCCCGCCGCCCAGCCTCACACCTCCCCGCCGGGCAACAGTTCCTTGGCCTTCCCAAACCCCGAAATCCGTTCACAATCGGCTCCCAGGCCCCTCCTGGGAACCGTCCTGGCCAGAATTGCATTCTGGATCGATGTTCGACGGCGGTCCCAGGGCCCGAGAACGGCCTGCAGATAAAGAAGACCATGGGAAACCTCGACGAACCTCGATACTCGGACCTCGATCATCCATCCCTCATCCCTCTCACTGAAAAAAACAACTCCGTCTCATCGTAACACTGGACGCCTCGGCAGTGCGGTTGAGCGGGCAGCTCGTTGCTCACGAGATTCCCCCACCGCTTGAACCTAAACCTGGGAAAGCTACACGTCGTTCATTTCTAATCGCGCTCATTCCTAATCGTGCTCGTTTCTAACTGTTCCTGGCCCCCTGGTGGCCAGGAAGAGGCCCAGGATGGAACAATTCGAAATGAAAGGACCTCGGCCCCAAAAAGACCAAAGAGCTCTCGAAGAGTTAGAAAGGAACCACGTGTGGAGCTGCAGGGATGGCGGGCGCGTCGTTTTCAAAATGAGGCCCTCGCCCTAGCACAGCGACAATTCGTCTCCAAAGCTTCCAGCACTTCCACGGACGGAGGGCGGCTCCTCCTCCTCCTCCTCCTCCTCCTCCTCTTCCTCCTCCTCCGCCTCATCGTCCTCCTCCTCTTCCTCCTCCTCCTTCTCCTCCTCCTCCTCATTCTCCTCCTCCTACCCATCCTGATCATCATCATCATCATCATCATCATCAGCAGCATCATCAGCAGCAGCATCATCATCAGCAGCAGCATCATCATTAGCATCAACGTCATCATCATCATCACCATCATCCTCATCATCATTTGCAGCAGCATCATCATCATCATCATCATCATCATCATCATCATCATAATCATCATCATCATCATCATCATCATCATCAGCAGCAGCAGCAGCATAACCATCATCATGCCCATCCTCATCCTCAACCTCATCCTCAGCTTCCTCCTCATCATAATCATCGTCGTCATTCCTTGTCTCCCCCATTATCGCGCTCACCGTCATCATTGCTTGCCCCCTCATTGCCTATACATAACTCCTCCCCACTGTCGCACAACCCGACGTGTCGGTAGGGCGGGCTGGGCGTTCGCCTGAGACTTCCTCACCAGTTACGATCCTGGAGCTTGAAATTTGCCACAGCTCAAAGGATGGAGGGCGGCCTGTTTTCAAAATGTGGCTTCCAACATAGCGCCGCGCACACTCGTTGTTTTGAAAGTCTGCAAATGGTTCAAAGATGGAGGGCCGCGTCTTTTCAAAATGTGGCTTCCGCTATGGCGCCGAGCACATTCGCCTTAAAAGTCTGCAAAGATGGAGGGCGGGTCGTTTTCAAAATGTGATTCCCGCCTGAGCGCCGCGCACATGAGCGCATCATGTTCAAGGATGGAGGGCGAATCGTCTTCAAAATATGGCTCCCGCCTGAGCGTCGCGCACAGTCGCCTTACAAATTTGCGACAGCTTGATAGACTCATGAAGCTCGAATGTCAGGAATCGTGCTCTGGCAAGGTTGAGGATCGTCAGGACGCATCAATCACGTGGATTCGCGACTTTGCCCCAGGAACGGTGCTCCAGAACGACCTAGGATTGCCAGGACGAAACAGGCACATTGATTCGTGACGTTGACATCCCAGGAAGAATGTTTCAGCACGTAGAAGAGTCTCAAGCGGTTGTCTTCCAATGGGATTATCTCCGCCATGAAACACATTTTGTAGAAGACCCATGAAGAGGGAATTTGGATGGAAAGTTTGTTCTGCAACATCGTTGATGAGTCTTGGGCCTACACTGGTCATGATCCCTACTCCTCCACCTCGTCCTCGTCATCGGCCTCGTCCTACCCCTCCTCTTCCTCCTCCTGCTCCTTCTCCTCCTCCTCATCCTCATCATCATAGTCATCGTCGTCATCGCAATCGTCATCCTCATCTTTATCATCACCCTAATCAACATCACAATCAACAGCAACATCGACATCATCATCATCATCATCAGCATCATCATCATCAGCATCACCATCATCATCGTCGTCATCATCATCAGCATCTTCATTATCATCAGTATCATCATCAGCATCGTCACCTCCATAACCAGAACCCTCGTCCTGATCCTCATCTCTTCGTTAGTCAATTGCTCCTGCTCCTCCTCCTCTTCCTCCTCCTCCTCATCATCAGCATCATCATGGTCATCGTCATCATCGCCATGATCATCGTCGTCATCATCACGATCATCAGCCGCATGATCATCAGCAGAAGCATCATCATCACCATCATCACCATCACCATCACCATCACCATCATCACCAGAAGCGGAGCGCGCCTCGTCGCCGATGCATCGGCGATTCGGCGCGATCCTCAGACCCCATCCGCTCTGGCCCCAGGTCGGAAGGCCTGGGGTGGGAGGAGGATCCCCCAGTTCCAGACACCCACCAATGCGACAGGCGCTCTCTGACAGCAAAACATAGCATGGGGCACGATACGGCACGGCAAAGCACGGCACGAGCAGCACCTGCGCGAGGAGACATCGCACAGGCCGCAGGGAGCTGGGCTGACGGGTGGCAACAGAAGCGCTTTGCTCTTGGCGAAGCGCACAAGAAGCCCTCGGCAAGGCTCTTGGGCAAAAAAGAAGACCCGTACTTCAAGGAAGGGGGCCCATAAGGCATAATGCCCTAGGTGGAGGAGGCCTTGAACAGCTTAAATTCAACCTGAAGGCCCTTCCCTATCCTCAGGGCGCCATCCCTCAGGGCCCCATCGTCGAACCACCGAGAGGAGGCGGAGGCGGCAACGACAGCAGAGGCAGCAGAGGCGGCACCAGAGGAACAATGGCTGTGGACTTGGCCAACTTCATGCGAGCCTCTGTGGACCTCCGCAGCAAGATTACAAACATGGACTTCGACTGGACTTCGTCCAGCTTTCGACCACCCCTCTTCTCCCCTTCGTCCAGATTTCGTTCAGACTTCGTCCAGATGTCGACCAAACCCGATGAAATCCGTGCGAGATCCCCAAAAAGCACAAGGAATTGTGAGACCCCTGAGGCTCTCACGAAGGACCACACCATACGGGAACCGAAGACGGCACGCGCAGAGAAGCCGAGGAGCGTGCGGCAGAGGAGCGGGCGCTGCATCCGCGCGCGCGCGGAGGCCAACAGGGGGCGTCGCGTCCGTGGTGGCCGGCCAGCGCAGCGCCTCACGGGGAGCTGCGGACGCCCCCTGCGGGTGAGGAGAAGCGGGGATGAGGGCTGGCGGCGCGCAGAGGCAGGCGGCGCGAGGGTCGGGGTCGTCCAGAAGGGGGGCGCCCAGGAGGGGGCCTCGCAACTCACGGCCCGAGGCACGTGCGCGGCCCGGGGGGGGGGGGGCCCGGAGGCGCAGCGGAAGAAGCAGAGGGGGTCAGATCTGGGAGGTATCATGGCCCCCGCCACGATTCGGTGGCAACTCATGGGAGCCTCCCATGCCATCTTGTCGGCTCTTGCGAATCGACGCGAATCGACGCTGTCTCATCGACTCCCAGACGCTAATCGACGCGAATCGACGCCAAGGACAAAAGGGCGAGGCTACGCCAAGCTCCCATGATTTGCTACCAAGACATGATACGCAGCCCCCCCCCCCCAAAGTCATCACCCGCCTCCTGGCCGCCCCCAAGAGAGGGACGGCCTTCTGCGACGGCCGGGAGGGCTTCTGCGACGGCAGGGGGCTTCGTAGAGCCTGAGGGACAAGCCTGGCTTCTGGGAATGCTTCTTGGGACCCCTCGGGCTCTTCTGAGAAGCCCCCTGCCTTCTGAGAAGCCCCCCGCACTCTCAGAAGGTGGACGACATCGCACCACTCCCTTGTGCGCGCCGCCATGCAAGGACATCCGATGCCGTGAGTTTCTCAATGCGGGGTACCTGGAAAGCCCGTTCCCTTCCCCAGGGCCGGTTGTTTATCCCAGGCCGTTCGTTGACGGTCCCGAGGGCCGAAAACGACAAACTAAACTCCGTTTCTACTTTATTTCAAGGCGTTGGATGCCTGGGATGAGGGAAGAGGGAGGGACGATCGGGCGTTGGCGGAACTGGGTTTAGTGGGACCTGGTGTAATGATGCGTGCCTACTGGGGCACGACCTCCCACCCCGTTCCACGAATCGGAACTGCCGCCCCCTGAAGGAGACACCGGCCACGGCAGACTTGGCGCAGTGATTCTGGCCCATTTCGGGGGGGCTTCGGGGCCCCATCACGCAACAGCTCCCCTTACCCTGGGGCCCTGGCTAGCGTCAGGTCGGGCGCGTCCCCCTACAGGCGGATTTTGGAAAAATGGAAAGTACTGCAAACATGCGCCAAAATGGTCAAACATGATCCAAAAATCGTGCCGAGACTATTTCTTGACCACTTTTGAATCTTCCTCCTGTAGAGGGACAGGCCCGACTTCAGGCCACACCCGCGACGAGGAGGGGAGTGACTTGCGCGGAGGCGGCGCCGTGGGCCCAGGTCGCGCCCGTGAGCGGGCGCAGGCGGAGGCTGTACCTCCAGGGGCCCTGCCGCGGCCCGACCATGGACTGCTGCGCGGTGGCCCACAGCTTCGCGCCGCCCTCGCCGACCGGCCACACGCCGGGGTTAGGTCGGGCATGCCCTCCTATACGGGCGGATTTTGGGCGAGAGACAAAGAGCTGGTCCAAAAAATAGTCAAAAAGGGTCCCAAAAGTGGTCCCCAGACTATTGCTTGGCTGTTTTTGAATATTCCTCCTGTAGAGGGACAGGCCCGACTTAACGCTGGGGGGAGCCGCTGTGCCACCTGTCCCACCGCAAGGGGGCACGTCACGCGTCCGATCCAAGGGAGCCTGTGGTGAACGGTCTGGGAAACCTGCACCGCGCAGCACCGCTCAACGCTACTCAGAGAAGGGCGCGGTGCGGCGCGATGCTGCGCGGTGTTGCGCTGTGTTGCACGTCGTTGCTCAATGTTGGGCGGCCGTATCACTCTGGTCAGCGGTAAGTGGCGCTATCCAAGAAGCTCCTATGGATCGACTCGCCGCACAAAAAAAAAATGCCGCGAAGGGGAGGGGGGCAGCCTTCTGAGAAGGCTGCTTCTTAGCAGGGCTCGGAGGCTACTGAGAAGCCTTCGTAGCAGCCTCCGGGCCCGTCTAAGAAGGGCCCCTTCTGAGAAGCTCCCCCCGCCTTCTCGGAAGGCAGCCCTCCTCGCGCCGCCCCCCTGCGCCGCTGAACAAAAACATCCGATGCCGTGAGGTTTCAATATACGGGGCACCAGGAGGCCCCGACCACTTCCCCAGGGCCGTCTCCTCCGTCCCGAGTCCTTCTCTACAGTGACGACCCCTGGGCCCGCGAGGGCCCCATGGCGGCCAAACCCGAGGACAGCGGCTCCCCACGAAGTCGTGGCCAGCCTGCCTCGCCCATGCCGCCGCACCCCGAGTGCGCCGTGTCCACGTGCACCTGCAGGGCTGGACCTCAACGTTGTTCTTCCTTTTGGCCTCGCTCTGTGCTTTGCTTCGCACTGCCTGCTTCCCTGCCGCTCCCAGCCAAAACGAAAAACAAAGCACAGCCGAAGTCCAGCAAGACAGCGCTTATTGAGGAACCGAACTTTATACACCGATGCTGTTTTCCGGTCCCGCACTGAGATCCGCACCAGAAAACGGATTCTGGTGTATACGGCATCCTGGTGTATACACGTTTTGCTACTTCCACGGGAAAACGGGGAAAAAGGTATACACCGCACCACCCCGACGTCGCCCCCGACCCCAAAAAAATCCTGGGATTGAACAGCAGCCCGCCACTGGCCACGCATACGCTCCAGCTTCCGACTTCTACCCGGCCCTGCGCACCTGCACCGGCCGCTCCCGCGGGGGAGGGGCGCCGCGCACGCGGCGGCCGCCACCGGGGCCCGGCAGCTCGTGCGGGTGGCGGGCGGCGTCGAGCTCGGCCACCGTCCAGCGCGACACGCTCAGCTGTGCGCCGCGCGTCGCGGCGGGCCGCGCGCCCTTGGGCCCGTCGAGGGGCTCCTCTGGAGAGAGCAGAACGACAGCAGCAACAGCAAGAACAGCAACAACAGCAGCAACAGCAGAACAGCAAGAGCAACAGCAACAACAACCGAAACAACAACAACAAAAACAAAAACAGTAACAACAGCAACCACAGCAACAACAGCAACAACAGCAACAGCAACAGCAACAGCAACAGCAACAGCAACAGCAGCAGCAGCAACAACAACAACAACAATCATCTGACCCTCATGCGCGATGATTCCACACGAAGCGTGCGACCATCAGGATAACAATCCCCATCATGGGGGGCTATTGTTCTATAGCAGGGTCCGTTATTCCCATTCCGAGATCGCCCGCCCAATGAGGTCTTGCAAACACCTCCTCCGAGGAATTTCAACAGATTCCGCCTCGAAAACGCATGCCCGCACCTTGCTGCGCCGATGCGAGGCCGCCAGTGCAGCCCCAGCCAAGGGCAAAGCACAAGGAACTATCGAGCAACAGGATTGCCTTGGTGGGGATGGGGGCTGTAGGCGGCGAGGCAAGGACCTGGCCCTGAACAGAAAGGGAGGACGTCTCGAGCAGGGCCACTGTTGTTGCTGGGAGCGGCGCCAATGCTGAAGAGAGTAGGCGCTAGTCCAGCGTAAAACAAAACGAAGTCTCGAGCGGGAACGCTGGTTTTGTTGGGACGGCGGTTGTCGGCGGCGAGGAGGAACACCGCCTTGAGTCAAAACGGAGGAAGTCTCGAGCGGGAACCGTGGTTGTCCGGACGGGGGCTGTCGGCGGCGAGGAGCAGCACCGCCCTGAGGAAATAGGGGGGAAACCTCGAGCGGGAGCGTTGTTCTAGCTGGGAGCGGCGCCAATTCAAAAGAGGGTATCCAGCGCAAAACGGGAGGATGTCTCGGACGGGAGCGCTGGTTTTGTCGGGACGGCGGCTTTCGGCGGCGAGGAGGAGCACCGCCTTGAGTAAACAAGGGGGAAGTCTCGAACGGGAGCGTTGGTGTTGCTGTTGGCGGCGCCGATGAGAGAAAGACTAGCGCGCCAGTCCAAGGTAAAACGGGAGGACGTCTCGAGCGATAGCGCTACCTTTGTTGGGACGGCGGCTTTCGGCGGCGAGCAAGAGCACCGGCCCTGAGTAAAAAACGAGAAAGTCTCGAGCGGGAGCGTTGTTGTTGTTGGGGGAGCAGTTTTGGCGCTGCCCCAAACCGCTCGAGCGTGAGCCTCATTTTCAATGAAAATGTAGCTAGCGCCGAGGCGAGAGCGTGAAAGCGCCTGGGGGGTCCAACAATGATAACTGCGTAGTGATTGACATTCAACGCCGACGACAACAACAACAACAACAACAATCACTTTACCCGAACGCTCAGTGTTCTCACCAGTGCCAGGGTTTTCATGCGACGCCAGCCAATACCCCCACTTTGTGGGGGGGCAGTGCAAGCTCTACCAAATATCCACACGACTCTTCGCCACCACCCACACCCAGCTTCCCGCCCTATGACGTTCGGACACTTCACTTCGTGGCCTGCGGACGACCGTGGCTACTACACTGGCGTGGTCCTCACGGCGGGCTCTTGGGGCCTCTTGAAGGCCTCCTGGGGCAACCTATGGCGCAACCAGTAGGGGGACGTTTTATTCTCGGCGGCCGAGGGCGCAACCTATGGCGCAACCAATAGGGGGACGTTTTATTCTCGGCGGCCGAGGGCGCAACCTATGGCGCAACCGCAAGGGATTGTGGCCCCTGGCAGGCGCGCGAACCCCGTTGCAAGAGCGTGCGAAAGTAGCTCGCGCGAGCTCATGTAACATAAATGTTGGAAAACCATTGGTTTTTTTAGGATTCGGACAGCGCGCGCGGGTAGAAATTTTGAAAAGTCGTGCAGGTGTTTTTCGAGGACCTACGGTGCGATTCGTGTGATTTTATGATGCGCGGTGCTAAAATTCTTAAGAAGCCCAATGGTTTTTGGAGATTTCGGCGTGCGCGCGCGAAGAAAAAACGAATGTGTCCCGCATGGTATTATTTGACAGGGATGATGGCCCTGGCAGGTGCGCAACCGTTGTCGCAGAAGTTCGAAAAAGTTGCTCGCAAAAGCCCGTTTGACAGAAATGTTTAAAAAGTGTTGGGTTTCCTACGAATCCGCAAGAGCGCGCGGGATGAGATTTTGACAATTGTTTGTTGAAAAACCATTGGTTTTTTGATGTTTTTATGTTAAAATCGCTGCGAACACTAAGGTTTTGGAAGGATTTCGTCTTGCGCGCGCGAATGTCCACTTTACCTTATTTTTTGCAAGGGATTCTTGAAATTTGATTATATTAGAACAAGAAATGTCATTTTCTATTGTTTTTTGCAAGGGAAAGCGGATTACAACAAAACAACCGGATCCTGTACACACCCTCTTTTCTGAGGCTTCCTCACGAAAATGATGAAAATGTAGCTGCGGCCTAGGCGGCGCAGGGGGGGCGCGCACCAGGGGGCCCAACAATAATTATTCTTTAGAATAAATAATGTTCAACAACAACAACAACAACAACAACAACAACAACAACAATCATGTTACCCTCATGCGCGAATGTATTCGCACGAAGCATGCGACCATCATGATAACCATCTACACAATGGGGGGCCATTGTTCTATAGCGGGGTCCGTTATTCCCATTCCCAAATATCCCGCCCAATGAGGTCTTGCAAACACCTCCTCCGAGGAATTTCAACATATCCCGCCTCGAAAACACATGCCCGCGCCTTGCTGCGCCAATGCGAAGCCACCAGTGGAACACCAGTTATGGGTAAAGCACAAAGAAGTATCGAACGACAGGATTGCCTTGGTGGGGATGGGGGCTATCGGCGGTGAGGCAAGGACCTGGCCCTGAATAGAAAGGGAGGACGTCTCGAGCAGGGCCACTGTTGTTGCTGGGAGCGGCGCCAATGCTGAAGAGAGTAGGGCGCTGGTCCACCGTAAAACGAAACGAAGTCTCGAGCGGGAGCGCTGGTTTTGTTGGGACGGCGGTTGTCGGCGGCGAGGAAGAACACCGCCTTGAGTCAAAACGGAGGAAGTCTCGAGCGGGAACCGTGGTTTTGTCGGGACGGGGGTCGTCGGCGGCGAGGAACAGCACCCTCTTCAGGAAAAAGGGGAGGAAACCTCGAGCGGGAGCGTTGTGCTGGCTGGGAGCGGCGCCAATTCGAAAGAGAGTAGGGCGCCAGTCCAGCGTAAAACAGAAGGAAGTCTCGGGCGGGAACGCTGATTTTGTCGGGTCGGCGGTTTTCGTCGGAGTGGTTTTGTCGGGACGGGGGTTGTCGGCGGCGAGGAACAGCACCGTCTTCAGGAAAAGGGGAGGAAACCTCGAGCGGGAGCGCTGTTCTTCCTGGGAGCGGCGCCAATTCAAAAGAGACTTGGGCGCCAGCCCAGCGTAAAACGGGAGGAAGTCTCGGACGGGAGCGCTGGTTTTGTCGGGGCGGCGGCTTTCGGCGGCGAGGAGGAGCACCGCCTTGAATAAAAAAGGGAAGAAACCTCGAGCGGGAGCGTTGTTTTTGCTGGGGGCGGCGCCGATGAGAGAAAGACTAGCGCGCCAGTCCAAGGTAAAACGAGAGGAAGTCTCGAGCGGGAGCGCTGGTTTTGTTAGGACGGCGGCTTTCGGCGGCGAGCAAGAACACCTGCCCTGGGTAAAAACGGAAGAAGTCTCGAGCGGAAGCGTTGTTGTTGTTGGGGGGCCGGTTTTGGCGCGAAACTAAAGCCAGCGCCCCGGCGAGAGCGCCAGGGCGCCTTTAAGGGCTCCAACGATAACTATCACTTAATAATTAGTAACAACCACAAAAATTATCCTGGCGAAGGACCCCACCATATGCAATTGTGAATAACGCTTTGTGGGTGCCGCTTTCGGTGGGGCTCCCTATGGGGCCACGAAAGGCGTGCCACGAAACGCTGTCCTGGGCGTACGGGACGCATGCGGGCGGTAGCACTGGGGCCTTTGGTGGAGTTCCCTATGGAGCCACGAAACGCTGTCCTGGGCGTACGGGACGCATGCGGGCGGTAGCACTGGGGCCTTCGGTGGAGCTCCCTATGGGGCCACGAAACGCTGTCCTGGGCCCTCGGCGACGAAACGTGTGAGGGATGTGCCGACATGGGTGCGGTGCCGCCATGCGAACGCAGCCACTGGGGCTCTCGGTGGAGCTCCCTATGGGGCCACGAAACGTGTGAGGGGTGTGCCGAAATGGGTGCGGTGCCGCCATGCCAACGCAGCCACTGGGGCCTCGGTGGAACGCCCCACTGGGCCACGGTGGAGCTCCCTATGGGGCACAGGGGTGTGCCGAAATGGGTGCGGTGCCGCCATGCCACTGGGCCCTCGGTGGAGCTCCCTATGGGGCCACGAAACGTGTGAGGGGTGTGCCGAAATGGGTGCGGTGCCGCCATGCAACGCAGCCACTGGGGCCCTCGGTGGAGCTCCCAGAACGTGTGAACATGGCGCGGTTGCCTGGCCATCGGTCCCTATGGGGCCACGAAACGTGTGAGGGGTGTGCCGAAATGGGTGCGGTGCCGCCATGCCAACGCAGCCACTGGGGCTCTCGGTGGAGCTCCCTATGGGGCCACGAAACGTGTGAGGGGTGTGCCGAAATGGGTGCGGTGCCGCCATGCCAACGCAGCCACTGGGGCCCTCGGTGGAGCTCCCTATGGGGCCACGAAACGTGTGAGGGGTGTGCCGAAATGGGTGCGGTGCCGCCATGCCAACGCAACCACTGGGGCCCTCGGTGGAGCTCCCTATGGGGCCACGACGCGTGTGAGGGGTGTGCCGAAATGGGTGCGGTGCCGCCATGCCAACGCAGCTACTGGGGCCCTCGGTGGAGCTTGTGGGGCCACGAAACGTGTGAAGGGTGTGCCGAAATTGGTGCGGTGCCGCCATGCCAACGCAGCCACCGGGGCCCTCGGTGGAGCTCCCTATGGGGCCACGAAGCGTGTGAGGGGGGTGCCGAAATTGGC